AAAAGCTTTTGTTGAAAGACGGAGCAAGGGGCGTGGCAGTACTGAAACACCGTCTAAGCTGTTCGCCAATCACAACGCACTGGGACAGCTAACCAATCACAACACATTTCGTTTTTTTCGAAAGGCGGGCCTTCATTAAAACCCAGAACTAATCGAGCCGTTTGTGCCAGGATGGGGAGAAAGGTATTTTAATAATGTAAATTATGTGAAAAATAATGTGTTTTTCGAACCACCAAGCATGAGAGCATGTTCTAGTACACCCCCAAAACAAAATCAAGACTTTGTAAAAGAGCATAATAGGACCCCTTTAAAAAATTTTCCTCGCTCTTCCAAGAGTTTGAATGGGAGTAAGCGGGTGTTTTTTTCAACAGTCCAAAAGTAATCAAATAAAGTGCGCGCATGCGTAATAAAACGTGCACGGAAGCACACAGGAGAGATCAAAACAAAACAACGGTCACTAATTAGAAGTACAAAACGAGGATTTGTAAAGAAGAATGTCGGAGGATTTCGATATAAGCCAAGAGGAGTCTAGTTTTCCTTTGGAAAAGTAAGAAAACGTTGCTTCCTTTGCTCCTGTAAACAAACTCGTGAGACTAGCATATCTCACTGGCGTGTGCGCGACGCATATGTCCTCCGTCATCCGCCGGAACGGCTTGCACGTATGACAGTCAGCGGAAGTGAGAGAAAACTATTTATAACATTTTAAATATGGATATTTTTCTTACAAAAACGCATCGATTCGCTACAGGAGACCTTTATTCACGCCCCGAAGCAGTGTGAGGCACGTTTTAATATGGATGCGCGCGTTTTATTTGATTACTTTTGGACTGTTGAAAAAAAAAAAAACATCTGCTTACTCCCATTCAAACGCTTGGAAGAGCAAGGAAAAATGTTAATATAACTCGACTGGATTCGTCTGAAAGAAGAAAGACATATACACCTATGCTTTAAGGGTAAGTAAAACATGGGCTAATTTTCATTTTTGGGTGAACTAACCCTTTAACTGCAAGTATGTTTGTTAATTTGTATACATAATGTTAATGTATAATCCTATTAATTCTGAGTCAAGATTTTCTTTTGTTTTGTTTTGTTTTAGAACATGTACACTAACTGCTAGGCCTGTTCTGTTTTGTTTTGTTTTGACACTTTATGTACCTTTACAGTGGGGGTCTTAAATTTAGATTACCTGGGGGCCTCTAGGTATTGTATTTTATTTTATTGTTTTAGAACATGTACACTAACTGCTAGGGCTGTTTTTTGTTTTGTTTTGTTTTTATGAATAGGCCTTCAGTTGAAATATTTGACATTAAATTGGATTACAAAGTTCATTTTTCTTTATTTGACGTGTGGTTTGGCTCTGTGTCTGCCTCTTCTTCGTTTTTTTTTGTTGTTTTTTTTACGGTCATTAAAACTCAAGCCATTCGGTCATTTTATTTGTGCATGTATGTTTGATATATTGTATACATAATGTTAATGTGAAATCCTGAGTCAGAATTTGCCCGTTGTGTGGACCAAATGTCCCCCAATAGTAAAACCTAAAATTACAGGTTTTACCAACAGTCTATATAAGGAACATGGCTTAATAAACATATTAAAAAAATCTTAATGAAAATATAAGGGTTTGCGTGAAGGTTAGGAACAGGGTTGCGAACCAAAAGCATCATTAACTCATTATAAAACAGTGGAAGTCAATGAAATGTCCCCACCCTCATAGAAACACAAATGTGTGAGTGTGTTAGAGAACGGGGGAGAAAGTGTTGTATAATAAGTCAGGTACAGTTGACAGTGGTGGCTCTCAGGCTGCAGCTCTATAAATAGACGAGGAGAGATGGGAATAAATCAGCCAGTCAGCATCTTCCTCTCACTCTCATCCAGCTCCTCCCCTTTCTCTGTTCCCTCTTCCTCCTCCAAACCCCTTTGGCTCTCTTTCTTCACCTCCTCCCCTTTTGCTCTGTTCATTCTCTCTCTCTCTCTCCTCCTTTCTTTCTCATTTCTGTCCATCCCCAGTAATTTACATTAATATTAACTGCATAACTAGTCTTCCTTCAGCCTCTCCTATTTCCTTTGCTTTTTTCTGTGCTTTTTTGCGTTTAGTTTGTTCTATTGAACACAAAGATGAAGGCAGCAGATTTGTTTAGTTGACACTCATATCAAAGCAGTTTTAGACAGGTTGTAATGTGTCAATGGTCATTTTCCTATATGTCCTGCCCAATGAAGCTGGTTTAGGTTGTCAGCTGTGTCCAGAAACACGTGGTGTTTAAACTGATATTTTACTGCTGCAACCGTGGGTCTGAATGTTTATTAAAATTCCTGTGTCACATGTTTCACTAGCAGCGGTGCTGTATCGATTCAGTTGGATTCACGTCTTTGTTCTTCTCTGCATGTTATCACTGAAGAGAATCAGTTTCCAGTGACTTTCCTGCACAAATAAAGGTCATATGAATACAAAGCAGCGGTATCCACATTTATCTCTATTCTCTGCGCATGGACCTCTGACATTCACTCTGCGGGGGGACGGGCAGTGTGTGCCATCCTCTCTGAAACCATTAGTGCCCACTGCTTATTTTCTTGGAGTCCATAGTCTTGGATTCACACATTGTCGAGTAGATGCCTGACTAGGGGAAGTGTTAATACTGTATGGTCATTTAGGATTTTCACTTTATCAGTGTTCAGAATGGGCATTAGTTTAGTCTGGATGCAAATAGGTTTACATGAGCTCGGGTTAAGTGCCTTTGTCTGCTTTTACACATGCTTTTCCCATTTCAAAAAGCTGTCACTAAAAGCAAATCCTGTATGAGTAGAAGGGCTGCTGTTTACCACAATATCCCAGGTTAAACTAAAGTATTTTCTTGTCTCTCCAGAATCCTGTCCACAGTGGGCACAGACCTTGATCTGAGGACGCTGCGTGCTGTTCGAGTGTTGAGACCCCTCAAACTGGTGTCTGGGATTCCCAGTGAGTAACATATTGTCATTGTTTACTCATGTACAGTATATGTACAGGTGTTGGACAAACTAACGTGAATACTCATTATTAAAAGTTCATATAATTTGTGTAGGCTACAGCAAAAAACAACAACAACAAAATAAATGATTTGCTTATATTGATCTTTTTATTGTCTATATTCTTTAGTTTGTAAATTAGTGTAGTATACGTTTTGTTCATCATTGTTTAGGACAAGCCATCTGTGAAATGGGTGATTTGTCAGACTTCCAAAAAGGACAAATCTTGGGAGCCCATTTAGCAGGAGCCTCTGTAACCCTGACAGCCAAAGAACAAAAATCTTAATTAATGATCATGGCTGCATAAACAAAGCATGGCAAGACTTTATCAGCAAAGAAGAATAGTGGGTGAGAATTGAAGGTGAATGAAAGGGACTGTTGAACACTAAGAATGATTGACCCTGTATCTGCAAAAACAATGCATCACACTAGGTTTGAACTCATTAGGTGCTTTCGCACCGGAGGAATCTTTACATAGTTCCTAGAACTATTGGCAGAATTTCCCACTTTTTGGCATGTTCGCACCGCAAGAACTAGGAATGTATTTAGGTCTAGGAACTCCTTTTGGGGGAACTAATTTAGCTCCTTCAGAGTAGGAACTAAAACACTTCTATAGGAACTACCAGTGACGTAAGTGTATGCTGAGTGGACAAACACATGCGAAACCCCGTCTACCCGGCATTTTTAAAAAGCTGTGTAAAAATATTTACTCTACGAACTTGGAAAACGGTGCTAACGGTATTTACCTGTTGTCTGCAGCGTTATGTTCTTTTCTCAGCCTCGATGATATGTAACTAGGGTGACCATACGTGCCATTTTCCCAGGACGCGTCCTGGCCAGGATTTCTATATTGCCTAAAATATCTAGGTTTTGGCTTTGTTTTCCTGTTTTCATGCTTGCTGAAGGTAATGATCGAAAAAGTAGTTTGACCAATAACATGCAAGCATTGTACATAATGGACCAATCATGGTGTGTGAGAAGGTGGGATCTACGGTCAAAGCGATGCAATTACGCGTACATAGGATGTGTGTTCGACTTAAAAGCAGTGCGGCTCAGACCGATTAGTGTTTGACATCAAAGTACCTCGAGAGCGTTTCGAAAGCATAACCGTCTGTATGGTACTTTGATGTCATACACCGATCGGTCTGCACACGCAAACAAAGCCAAAACCTAGATATTTTAGGCAATATAGAAATCCTGGCCAGGACGCGTCCTGGGAAAATGGCACGTATGGTCACCCTATATGTAACACTGCAAGTTGTCACAGGAGATTTAGTCCGATTTTCATGCTCTTTCACTCGCGTTGTGTGTGTTTACATTCCATCTCCATTATCGCGAAACCCACGACACACAACAAAAACAGCTCCGATCACGACGTCCTCCATTCACCGGTTGTTGACGTTTGTAAATGCCGCCAATAAAGACGCCACTATCGCCGCTTCAGAATTCCCGCTGCTGGTGCAAATGCAACCAGGAAAACGGCCTGAGGGAGAAATTGGTTCTCTAGGAACCACCCTGCTGGCTAGTTCCCAGAACTAAGTTCCTAGAACTACGCGGTGCGAAAGTGCCTATTGAAGACACATGGCATGTCACATGACCAATTTGATGTGTTTAAAAATGCACCTGTGAATGTCATATAAGAGCTTGGTTAAAGAGAAGGGTTAAAGGGATAGTTCACCCAAAAATGACAATTACCCCATGATTTACTCACCCTCAAGCCATCCTAGGTATATATGACTTTCTTCTTTCAGATGAATACAAATTATGACAAACTGCCATTATAAAGCTTGGAAGAGCCAGGACATTTTTTTATATAACTCTTTAATATAACTACATTTTGGGTGAACTATCCATTTAAATTGCGTTAGGTTCCTCAAATGAAACTATCACATGACCTGAGTAGACTTGAATACAGTGCAGAGTAAGGATTGCGTTTATGATGCTGATGCAGTATATTAGAAGTATGATAATTCTTAGTTTACGTTATACCCTTTGTGCCCATTATACCCTCTGCCAAGCTTTGAAATCCAATTTTATGCTGCAAAGAAAAAACAAAACAAAAACAAAACTAAAACCTTCGACAATGTAAAAATGCTTGTTCTCTTTCTTCCAGGCTTGCAGGTTGTGCTTAAATCCATCATGAAGGCTATGATCCCTCTGCTGCAGATCGGTCTGCTGCTCTTCTTTGCCATCCTCATGTTCGCCATCATTGGTCTTGAGTTCTACATGGGCAAATTTCACACCACTTGCTTTGACAACATCACTGGTAGGCCTTTATGTGCTTGTTCTCACTCGCAGATTTTTTCATTCATGATCTCCTAAACGGTCACCTTCGCAAGTGGACCAATTTGATTGTGTATGAAAAAAACACCCTTTTCTTTCTGATAGATGAGATACGAGAGGAGTTTCCATGCGGAAATGACACTAACGCTCGGACCTGTCCTAATGGAACAGTATGTAAAAAGTACTGGATTGGACCCAACTATGGTATTACCCAGTTTGACAACATCCTGTTTGCCGTGCTCACAGTCTTCCAGTGCATCACCATGGAGGGCTGGACTGACCTGTTATACTATGTAAGTCACATTGCAAAAATTTCACTAAAGCCATAGAGCTTCCTAATTAGGCCTGTCACAACTTTTTGTTGTGCGATATATTGCCCCAGAAGTAATTGCGATAAGCGATATTATTGTCATTTTAAAGACTATTTTATGCCACTGAATATATAATGTAACAGCATAATAATGCAAGAAGGCCTTCACATTTTCAAATGACAACAAACTTTTAATTCTTAAGAATATTTAGATCATGGAAATTAAGTATCAAAATATTAGATACCTTAAAAAACTTGAATAAATAGTAAATAAACATTTTCTAACAAAAAGTGCAAAGTAACAAGTACAAAAAAAGAAAAATGCACAAAGAACTTGTATGGAGATTTTTCCATCTACAGATTTTTCCCTGACCTTCTTTTCTCTGTAAATGAAGGGTGCACACTATTGCTGAAAAACACAATCACTACCTAGCAGTCAGATGTCCGTATGCACAAAGGCACAGATCCCTAAACAAGGCCATATCTGCAGATGAAACTTTGTTTGTAGAAGCATTTTTAAATTTGAACGAGCACCTCATGACTACACCACGTTATGTACGGGAAGCTGCAAAAGACACAGGTGCAAGTTGAATGCAAAAAACACGGTGACAATAATTTTTAAGTAAATATATTGGGCGATATATTGCATCACCAAAAATTATTGAGGTCATGTACATATATTGCGCGATAAGTCGATATATTGATTATTGCGACAGGCCTATTCCTAATTCAATTTTTGGATTTTTTGACCTAAGCTTAAATAGACCACAAACAATGTTTCAAGAGAAATGTTCAATTCTGATTGTTCTAAAGTGCTTGTGTGAAACCATAAATACATACATGCATACATACACACTACATACACACCCTACACGCTACTGTTCATTTACTTGATCAAAAATACAATAAAAATGGTAATCTATGAAATTGTGAGCAATTTTAAATATTAATGTTTTCTGTTTTAATGTATTTTAAAATGTATTACAGTGATGGCAAAGCTGAATTTTCTGCATTATTACTTCAGTCTTCAGTCACATCACATGATCTTTCAGAAATCATTCTAATATGTTGATTTGTTGCTCAAGAAACATTTCTCATTACAATCAATGTTGAAAACACTTGTGCTGCTTAATACTGTGGAAACTGTGATGCTTTCAGGATTCTTTTAAAAATAGAAAGTTCAAACAAAACCGCATTTAATGGAGTCAATAAAATGCATTCTTGCTGAATAAAAGTGTTACAGTATTTCTATTTAATATATATTTTATAGCAGCACAGCAGTCCTTGTGCAAGAAGCGCAAAAACGTCTCGGGTTACTTATGTAACCATGGTTCCCTGAGGGGAACGAGACACTGCGTCCTCTAGGGGTCGCTATGGGGAACGCCTCGTCGTGACCCGTGTCTGAAGCCTACATTGAAAAAACACCAACTTGTTTGGCCGGCGACAGCCATGACGTCACTACCGTCGCGACTAGTACAAAATAGGCGCCGGTAGCGCACATCATTCACTTCTTCGTCTGAAGCTTGTGTCCGCAGCATGGCACAAAAACTAGAGGACGCAGTGTCTCGTTCCCCTCAGGGAACCATGGTTACACAAGTAACCTGAGACGTTATTCTCTCTTCAACAATTGCAATTCTATAAACACATGACTTAAAGTGGACACATTTATACACTCAAACACAGGTGAGACATAAGTTTAATAAAGTGATTTTTGATTCAGATGAATTAATTATTCACCACAACAAGATTTAAAAATGTTTTTGTTCTTCCTCGTTAAAACAAGGCCAGTACATGAAGGTGGTTACTTTTAGAGAATGATGTGCGCTACCGGCGCCTATTTTGTACTAGTTGCGACGGTAGTGACGTCATGGCTGTCGCCGGCCAAACAAGTTGGTGTTTTTTCAATGTAGGCTTCAGACACGGTTCACGACGAGGCGTTCCCCATAGCGACCCCTAGAGGACACAGTTCGAAGTTCCACGAAAGGGAAACACTTTTGTCTCAGATGGGCTTGGAATTGGTGGGCCTTTTGAGACTTTAGTCTTTGCAACTTTACAGATCTTCTTTATGCACCAAGAGCTTGTAACACTCTAAAGAGAAAGGAAAAAATGAAATCGCATCATATGACCCCTTTAACATGGACATCCTGTATTATTATGGTTTTGATTAATCCTCAGAGTAGAGGATTACTGATTTCTTTTACTTAAAGATTATCAGAAAGTATCCAATCTAAGGGACTGAACAGCCCCACCTAATCCACATCCACTGTACCTTTCAGTCGCAGACATACAGTAAGCAAAATCTCGCCTATAGAGTCAGAGATGGTGCAGTGCATTTATAGTCTTATCGCTCGTGGCCAGCCTGTCCACTCTGAACAGACACCGCTGTTTCCGGTGAGTTCACCTGCCCTCTGCGCCAGAAAATAGGGCAGTGAAGTCAATGCTATGTTCAAGATTTTCACAAACTAATGATGTTACCTCAAGGGCCAGTTTAATTCCAATGCCACGTCAATCCATCTCACAAATCAACAGCATGTTTAAGGATTAAAGGTTTATTTTAGAAATCATCTTGCTTGCCAATGAGAATTAGTCTGAGGATGGTTATTCCATATGACTAAGGCTTGCAGTTCTGTACAGCCCAGTCAGATGTCATCATCTCTTATTTGGTCTTACTGTAGTTTTATCCCTGTTTTCTTTTTATAACTCTTGCTGCTTGGCTCGCTGTACCCCCGATTTTTACTTGCCCCAGCTTTTTTCTTCCTCCTGTTTCTCTCCAGTGAACGGGGCTCTATATATAACAGACCCTGCTCAACTGAAGTTATTCTTACAGCTGCTGAGAAAGAAACCTATGAAAATTTAATTGCAAAAAAGCTGCAGTACATACTGGGGCTTTCAGAGCTCTCAGACATGCAGAGAGAGTGAAGGAGCGGACGAAAAAGAAGTGGGGCAGATCAAGGGAGACTATGGGACATAGCTACAACAAATGCCATTGTATATTACAAATATTGACAAATTACTGTAAATGGAAAATAAAATCTAAAGATCTCAGCAGATTCAGCTGGGTTATTTTAAAATATCTTTAAAGGATTAGCTAGTTTACTTCAGATATGAGTTCCGGACAGGGCTGCGACGATAAATCGATGCATTGAGATTCGTGGATCGATTCTGAGATTTTAAGAATGCATGGCGATTCTCTCTGTAATTGATTCTGAGCTTAGTTTTTAACAGCAGATGGCGCTCTAATCTAGTTTTTATCTGCACACTCAATGCTCACGATGAAGAGCGCTTGTGCGTTTGACTGAGTCATGCAATTTCACCTCAGCTCAGAATGCTTTTATGAAGCGTGATTAATGTAAACACAGCCCACTGTGAACACCCTTGTAATTCGCTTCAACCTTTTCGAAGTTTATGAATGATTATTTTAGGTTCAACCGTTCAAGTGTGTGTAAGGATTTGGAAGCAAGCAGAGTACGGCTGTTTCTAAAGCATGTAGTGCCATCTGCTGTTCAAAACTAAGCTCAGAATCGATTCGAGAAAGAATTGCAATGTATTCGGAAAATCTCAGATTCGATGCAGAATCATTTGTCGATTCACGATGCATCTATTTATTTTCCCAGCCCTAGTTCCAAACCCTTATGAACTTTTAGTTGTTGTTGTTTTTTTTGGAACGCAAAAGGATATTTAGCATTGATGCCGATAGCTAAGTGGGCAGTGCGCCAAAATATAATGTTGTTGTGTTGCAGTTGTCCCGAGTTTGAATCCTGGCTCGAGGACATTTCCTGATACCCCCCCCCAACCCCCAACCCCCAACCCACTTCGATTCATGTCTACTCTACATTATCCTATTTTAATAAAGGCAAAATGCCAAAAAAAATAAATCTTTAAAAGGAAATATTTATCACATTGTCCAAGCTGCTTTTTACATTCAATGAAAGTCTAAGATTTTGAGTGAATAAAAACTTAAATTTCAGTTTGTGCCTCATACGCAGCTATTGCAAGCTCCAGAACACTTGAATTATAATTGAATATAATGCACAAGCCATATGGCCTATTTTTTTATTATTCTTTAATGGTGCTTTTTGTGTCCTTTTGAGCTTGACAATCCTTGATCCCCATCCACTTTCACTATGGAAGAGAGTAGCTTAGATATTCTGCTAAACATCTTTTGTGTTCCTTGTAAGAAAGGAAGTCATACAGGTTTTGAACGACATAACGTAAGTAAATGATGACACAGTTTTCATTTTTTGGTTAAACACTTCCTTTAAAACAAAATGTGTCTCCTTGAAAATACCAAAAATGTGCAGAGATTGTAACATCATCTCCAGTTTTCCTAAAGCAGCACTTGTGGACTGTTTCGATCTGGGCTTTTGTAGCCTGGGCTTCTTCCCTAGAGGCAGCCAGTGGAGCAATGCCACACAAGATGGCTGCCCATTTGTTCCTCTCTGCAGTGACAGGGTGCAGCGGTGCTGAGCACCCAGCTGTGTGTACCACAGATGAAGCAGTCCCAGCCAGATGGTTGCCATTCTCAGGTTGCACGTCGCATGGTACGTGGTGTCCTAGGATCTGGCACGGTTCTGTCATAGATGTTCTCATCCTCTGTTAGTGGGGTCAAATTTCCCGTCACCTTATAAAAATTACCAAATAAAAATGCCAAACATTCTGATGTCTTTCTACTGTGGAGAGTCTTGGGAAGACAAACACAAAGAAAACCAGATGAACAAGCCGTTCTCTCAGCTGGAGAGAGAAAAAATGTTTGGATGTGTGCCTCATGGTACTGACTGGGCTGTTTTATGCCGTTACAGAGCAATGATGCTTCAGGGAGTGCATGGAACTGGATGTACTTCATCCCCCTCATCATCATCGGCTCCTTCTTCATGCTCAATCTTGTGCTGGGTGTGCTGTCAGGGTAAGAAACCTCTCTCAGACAGTGTGAGCTCTTCTCAAATTCTGCGCTGAAACATTGTGCATTGTTTGATTTGCTTATGAATTACAGTGTTCATGATAGTTTTGTGGATTTTATGTGATTTTTTTTATTTTATTAGCCCATGCAGAGGTAGATATCTTGGGTATACCACCACAAATGAAAATGACTTTAGATAAAAAAATTTACAGGTACAATTATATAACTTTTCATTATATTTTTTAATGATATTATCAGCAGAGCAATTTTAATAAAAACTGAGTGAAAAATAGCATCTTGTGCTTCAGTGGAAAGAAATCTGATCTCTTGTACAAATAAGTTCACATGTCAGTGTCACTTTTTTTTATTTATTTTTTTTATTAGTGAGCTAGTGCAGAATCTGAGATATTTCTTAATCATTTTGTCATCATTATCTTTTTTTATGTAACTTATTTTTAGATTTAAATTACATTTTGAATCCCAGATTATTTTTGCGTTTTTTCAGACATTAATACACGTTAATTAATGAAATGTACATAAAATTCCTGAATTTCATTATTTCTTTTGCACACTCTTTATTAAAAAGTCCCTCAAAAATATTTAAAAACACCACATTTTCATTATCCATCGATAAAGACATCCGATAATAGAATTAGTTCCCTCATTTAAATTTAGTACAACGTGGCCACAATTTAACTAAAGCGGGGAAATTAACTAAGTAGTGGGAATGGAATGTTAATTTGTGGCCAAGATGGCTTGGTTTTTCTCCCTCTCCAAAAATCTCCAAAATAATTAGTATGTATGTGCATTTTGTGTTCTTCCATTGACATGCATGTGTATGTGATACAGAGAGTTTGCCAAAGAAAGGGAGCGCGTGGAGAACAGGAGAGAGTTTCTTAAGCTGAAGCGTCAGCAGCAGATAGAGAGAGAGCTGAACGGATATCTGGAGTGGATCTGCAAAGCAGGTAAATGCCATAGAAAGAGCCATTAGATACTCCAGAGAGAAGCTAAAGCCAAGAATTCAGATAGTAGCTTGTCTCTTTTGATACGGATGTCTTTACACTTGTGCGTCTCAGTATTGGAACGTGCTGATAACGTACAAAATGTTTCATTAGGCTTCTTTTAAGCACTAGAAATTGTCCCCATTTTCATGACTTTTGCAGTGGATTGATTTGAATCTGTTTTGATTCTGTACAGAAGAAGTGATTTTGGCTGACGAGGACAATGACCCAGATGACCGGATGCCCTTTGACGGTATTTACGTGAACTCCTCCATCCTTCCTTCCTTTTCATCCCCTCTGCTCCTTTCTTTGCTCCCTCACTGGGACTAGGTGTTGATTTCCCATTGTAAAAGAAGAGAGAGATCAATAGCGTGTTGGCTTTGCTGAGGGGGTGATACTGTATACTTCTTGTCCATATGCACAGTTAATGTAGTGTTCATGGGTACATTTACATGGGCCGTCAGTCTGTAGCTTACAGCAGACATGTGATAGACACACTACACTTCCTAGTTGTCTCGTTTAGTTCTTTCTGTTCATCTATCTGTTATGTATTAATATTTTAGGTTGTCAGAATCTGTATGTATATCTGATCTGTATGTGACTGTGGTCTGTTACACACAGGCTCGCGAAGGAGACCTACCATCAAGAAGAGTAAAGCAGACCTGCTCGATGCAGAGGATGGAGATGGAGATATAGGTGCATTTGAGTTATATAAAAAGCACACAAATACACTTGTACACTTGTAGGTTTTTTTGGCTCAGGGTTGATCAATGGGGTTTTGGCATAAAAATTGCCATAAAAAACATGTTAGTTTTTGGTATTCTTTAAAAGACAATTTAAAAACCTTAGGATAATATTGATAAAAAGTAACATGGTGTATATCATAGCACTGAGCTATTATTAATATTTTGAATCGGTTTTCTTTTCTTTTTTTTCCATTTTCGTATATGTACAGGTACATCTCAAAAAATTAGAATATCATGAAAAAGGTCAATATTTTTTGTCATTCATTTCAGAAAGTGAAACCCATATATTATATAGATTCATTACACATAGAGTATCTCCATAAAGCTTGTCAGCAGAAGGAAGCATGAACTGCTCTAATAATTCATGCAAAAGGAGGCCCAACCAAGTATTGAGTGCATAGAAATGAACATACTTTTTAGAAGCCTGACATTTCTGTTTAAAATGTCCTTTTTTTATTGATCTTATGTAATATTCTAATTTGTATATATATATATATATATATATTAGTTAAATAACTCTGGTACTACCATCTCATACCATCTTTTTTTCTGTTTTTTTTTCTTTCTTTTTGTAAGGGACCATTGTTCCCCTGTTAACATCTTTTAATTGCTCCAGAGAGATTGCTCCTGTTATTAGTGAACTTCAATAAGTACATACTTATCTGCAGTGGGCTCCAAAAGATTGATTTGCATTTTTTTGTAAATTTAATATATATTTTGATTTACAAAATATATTTATAGCAGAACATTTGGAGTAAAAAGTATTTTGATAAATTTACCTGAATTACAAAATTATCTCCCTAATTTTCAAATGTCATATCAGATAGGACATTTCAGTTTTCATTTAATTTTATTGTATTTTGCTTCCTTGCCACTCTGCTTAACTGCTTCTTTTCCGACCGTCAGGTTCTCCGTTTGCACGGGGCAGTCTGAAGAGCTCGAAACTGGAGGGCTCTTCCTTCCATAAAAAGGAGCGTCGGCTGCGATTCTTCATCAGGCACATAGTGAAGACGCAAACGTTCTACTGGACTGTGCTGTGTCTGGTCGGACTCAACACACTGTGTGTGGCTGCTGTGCACTACGACCAGCCCGAAAAGCTCTCAGACTTCCTCTGTAAGTCTATCCATCTGTCTGTTCTCTCATTATTATAGTAAACCCACACAGAACGTGCAGACTTTTCTATATTTTTTGTGCGTATTTTGTGGGGAAAATCAGCAAAAATTTGAGAATGTATTTTCAGTGCGGACGTGCTCGAACCTGTGAGGTTTCTTTCATTGCATGTAGATGAGTGGAGAGATAATGATGTTTTAATTTACTTTTTTTACTTATTTTCCTGTTTATGGTTTCCTATTTTACTTTCTGAAGATGTTACTCTGTTTCATTTCTTGTATCTTTGTTTATTCATTAATTTTTATTCATTAAAGCAGACATAACACACAGTTTCTGCCAATCTCATGTGAATCTTGAGTACCTAGTATTGCATCCTTCATATCTCCGAGGAGTCTTTAGTTTTGTCAGATTTATAAAAAACAGTCTGGAAACAATCGAGCTCCTGGAGGCCTGGTGTGGGCGGAGCTAAAGGGTCATGAGCATGCAAAGCTTTTGCGTAGCAATCGTCTGCAAGCTGACATGAAGATAAATAAAACAGGGACAACAACTTTATTGACTTCAATTAAATATGGCTAACTAATTAACGAATGAAGCACATTGATGGGTATGCCCTTGCTCTCGCTCTGGTTGACGTGTAGGGTTAGGCACTCTTCCAGGAGAAGTGACCATACAATGAATTCCACCCTTTATGACATCATACTCCAAAAAACTTTCCCAAACTTATCCACCTTTTTCTTCAACGCAGAAGTAAGCCTATGGGCAAGACTTCTGGTTCATTAGCCGCTGTAGGGAAATAACAAGAAGAATAACAATGTGCATTGTGCAGTAAACGGTAAAACTGTTTGCACTACAAATCAGTGTGTTCATAATTAAGAAGTGCATTAAAATAATATGGTAAAACACACCAACTTCCTTTATCATGCAGCAAAACGGAAAGCAGACCCATAGAATTTACAAATGGCTGCGCCTGCTCTTACGGGAAGAAAAAGGTGGATACAAACCCTGTAGGAGTGTCTTAGGCACAGAAATTCTCTGTCATATGTCCGACTCCTTTTTTGAGACTTTGGTCATGTTTAGCATGAGAATCCAACTCTGTAGCAGCGTAAATAAGTCAGAATGCTTGAAATAGCATTAGACATTCCCTTTGAGTAATACCCTCAAAAGTATTACATTTTGGACACTTAAAAATATCTGAATAGCATTTTCATCATATTAACAGTGGATGTTCGGTTAGTTTGACAACCATTAAATTTCCTAATTGTAAAATTAAACAGCATATCTATTGTTTGAACAGTATCTCTGTCATTTGAAATCAACAATTTTCTTGCTTTTAAAAAGTGTTTGTGCAGTATTTATTTAAAATATAAAATATTAAAATAAAAGTTTTCTTTCTTTTCTTTGTATCTTTGACCTTTGCAAATGCTCTTTGTCTCTGTCTGTTTCCCTCTCTCTCCTCAATCCAGACTTTGCTGAGTTCATCTTCCTGGGGATCTTTATGTCAGAGATGTTTATTAAGATGTATGGGCTGGGGACCAGACCTTATTTTCACTCCTCCTTCAACTGTTTTGACTGCATTGTGAGTTTCTCCCATCCCTCCTTCTTCTTTTACTAAATCCAAAAAACATTTGAATGAAACCATGCCATTATTCCAGCCAATCATTGCTCTTTCAGGTCTTAATGTTGATATAGTTACTGAAGTTGTTTGTATAATTTGTAATTCACTGCACTAAATCAGTTTCTTAATCAGTATTTCAGTGTTTTGGATGTTTTAATAAATGATGATTTTGTGAGAACTGTGTGAAGCAGATATGGGTTAGTGTTTGGCGTTGGGTAAGGGGTTTTTGTTTTGTGGCTTGCTGTTATTGAATGAGCTTTAAATGTGTGTTTTATATATGTGTGTGTCTTTGTGTGTGTGTGTGGGACAGGTCATTTGTGGCAGCATTTTCGAGGTGCTCTGGTCTATGATCCAGCCAGGAACCTCGTTTGGGATCAGTGTGTTACGAGCTCTCAGGTTACTGAGGATCTTCAAAGTGACCAAGTGAGTCTCTCACGTCTCGAGTCCCATGTCTGTCTTTCTGTCCCACTCTTTGAACTGTTTTAAGAAGGACTAAGCATTTGAAATGTCCTTCTTTCCCATTTTCAGGTATTGGGCGTCTCTGAGGAACCTAGTGGTGTCTTTGTTGAACTCCATGAAATCCATTATCAGTTTACTCTTTCTCCTTTTCCTCTTCATCGTGGTCTTTGCGCTGCTGGGCATGCAGCTTTTTGGAGGACAGTCAGTATAACACTACAATACACATAATAACAGAAATGTTTTTTTTTAATGTATTTCCATGGGTCACCAGAGTCAGTCCAGGCCCTAAATAAGGCATGGCATGGAAATACTGTGTGTAACAACAATATAACCACCATTTCTTCTCTTCAGGTTTAATTTTGAAGCCGGCACACCACCTACAAACTTTGATACTTTTCCTGCAGCAATAATGACAGTATTTCAGGTGAGCAAATGTGCCCATCAAACAGTGTGCAATCATTCTGTGTGTTTTCCATGGCTTTGTGATAATGGACCTTCTCTCTGCACCTTAGATCCTGACGGGTGAAGACTGGAACATGGTCATGTATGATGGGATCGAGTCTCAGGGCGGAGTAAAAAAGGGCATGGTCTTCTCAGTCTTCTTCATCGTTCTTACACTCTTCGGCAACTGTATCCAAACACATAGTATTGCATGCTGACATGCTGTTTCGCTTAATTTTCCACATACACCAGTGCAGCATTAATATGATGATCCTTAACCCTTCTGTGAACAGACACTTTGCTCAATGTGTTCTTGGCTATCGCTGTGGACAATCTGGCCAATGCACAAGAGCTGACCAAGGTAAACACATTTTTTGGGTAATGAATCAGGGGTTAAAAACAAACAAACAAACAAATAAATAAAGTTACATTCAGTAAAAAAAGAAAAACTTGATTTACACACAGCCATGATCAAGTAAAAGTAAATATTAAAAGAAACGCAGACTGGGATCGGTCCGGCATGTGGTGTGCTTGGGCTTGTTTAGAAATTGCTGAGGGCAAATCAGTGTTGCATCTCTAATAAATAGTTATGTACATGGTAAAAAAAAATGTTATGTCAATTAAATACTTTTCTTTATTATTTTCTTATGGTGGTTGCATTAACTCACTAGGCACTAGTATGAGGACTCTCAATGACCATGTTTCTCCTTCTCTCTGTCAAGCTGTTTATCCTTCACACTCCTACGCACCAGCGTGCATCACATTTGAACCAATATGCTTCATGTTTCTCTCCATGTATAGGACGAACAGGAGGAAGAGCAAGCAGCCAATCAGAAAATGGCTCTTCAGGCGGCCAAGGAAGTAGCAGAGGTCAGCCCACTGTCTGCAGCCAACCTCTCCATTGCTGCGTGAGTATATCTCTCTCTCATATCTCTCTCTTTGTCCTGATGCCACATTTTCTCTCCCACAATTTCTTTGTCTTCCTTTTATGTTTGTTTTTATGTGTTCAGACTATGTGTTGCTCTTGTATCAGCCAAATAAACATAGGGGTCAATAATAGACAAAAAAAACCAAACAGCAACACTTTCAATCTGGCTTTTTTGGTTTCCGTCAAACAAGAGTCAAAAATTGCAGCATTGAGGATGATTCCGGTTTGTCAGTGTGCCAATGCATCCAAGTATTTGTCAGGAAAAGAAGAGAGAATCGTGAGAGAATATGTGTGTATTATTGAGGACGAGCTTGTGAATGAGGGAGAAGAGCAAAGAGATGTTCTGTGTTTCTCACATGCTGTTTTCCTCCTCAGCGTGACAGTAAACTCTGAGCGTCTTGATGCAACAGAACACTTTCTGGACTGGTATTTATTCATTTATACTCTTTCTGTTCTTTCGAAACGCCTCTCTGTTCGCCCTACACCTCCCACTCTTTTCCCATCCGCCTTTTCGACATGTGCATTTCCTCCTCGGTTCTCTGTGCTGCTCCCTGCTCTGTTCTCCAGACTGCTGGGTGGGATGGGACGGGTTTGTCACTCCTCGTATCGTCTTCTCTCTTCATCCTGCTACTCATCACCTGCTGTTCTCCTCTTATCTCCTATACTTTCTCTCTTTCACATGCTTTGCTCCAAGGGTTGGGCGCCTGTGATGTGTTCACTCCCAGAATTATTATAGTTATCTTCTTTCTGTGTGTGTGTTCTGTGAGTGAGTTTGACCCAAGCGGTGCAATCATGCTCTTTAACAAATGGTAGCTGGTAGCTGGTAGCTTGTAGGTGGGCATTTTCAGCCTGCGGTAGCTGCAGCAACCTCACTTTTCCCTCTTGATGATTACTAATCTCAGATCTACTGTAAATGTCTCTCTCTCTGTCTCTCTCTCTTTTCTGCAGTAAAGAGCAACAGAAGAACCACAAAGGTTGTAAGTCAGTATGGGAGCAGCGCACTAGCGAGTTGAGACGACAGACCCTGATGAACAGCAGAGAGGCTCTTTACAATGAGTTGGACCCTGAAGATCGCTGGAAGGTGAGAAGAAATGTCGGAGAAAGACATGCTTGGTCAAAGAGGATGGATTTAAATATCAGTTATCAGCTGATAAAAAAAGTTTTCATTTCATCGGTCAATTATTGCATATTTAATTGTACTTTTCCACAATTTGTAACTTTTTTACATTTAATAACACTGTTAAACGTAATCTCAAATCTCAAAATGAATATCCATTATTATTTTGAATATTTATAGTGTTGTGATTCCTTAATTTACTTTAAGATTGGTTTCATTTAAAATTGATTGGTTATTTTCATTTATTTAGACAAAATAGTATCAAATTTAAATATCAACCATTTATAAACAATACATGGGAATAAATTGGGCATAATATTAAAATAATTAGAAGCTTATCGCATTAACAAGAATACTGATATTGGTGTTTTTTAATGTGTTTCCTAATAATAGTATATACAGTGACCCCCAGTTTACAGGTTCAACACAAAAATATTCATTTTTAATTCAGTGTTTCTGTCTTGTTTTCCATTATCCTTTAAAGCAAGATAAGTCTAGTGAATATATTCTTTAAACAATCTAAAAGTATCATGATATTAATATTTATTTTAATATAAATAGAATGTATATAAATAAATAGATATTAAAGGGTTAGTTTTCCCAGAAATAAAAATGCAGTTATCATTTTCTCACTCTTAAGTTCCAAGCGTGTATGAATTTCTTTATTATGCTGAACACAGAAGAGAATATATTGAAGAATGTTGGTAACCAAACAGTTTCTGGTCCCCATTGACTTCCATAATATATATTTTTTTCATACTATGGAAGTCAGTGGAGACCAGCAACTGTTTGGTTACCAGCGTTCTTCAAAATAGTTTCTTTTATGTTCCACACAAGAAAGAATGTCCTACAGCTTTAATATTTTGGTTAATATTTGTCTTGAATTAAGTTCTTATTTGATTGACAAATGTGTGGCCTTAGTTTTGTTTTTATCATGCCTCTAGGTCTCATACTCCCGTCACATTCGTCCCGATATGAAGACACATCTGGACCGGCCGCTGGTCGTGGACCCTCAGGAGAACCGCAATAACAATACCAACAAAACTCATCCGGGTGACGGCCAGCCCCAGCGCACTCATCAGCTCCTGCACAAACAGCCCAACTTCAATGAGGGGGAGAGTGGAGGAGGAGGTGGAGGGTCTGAGCCCTGGGCAGCGTTGGAAAGGGGGGACTCCACAGGGTCTCGTCGGAGTCTTTTAGGCTCTGAGAACCATGGGGAGGGTAGAGAGTCTCACCGCAGACATCAGCATGGCGAGCGCTGGAAGCTCTTGACAGAAAGAAGACTAATTCCTTGTGTGTGTAAACACACTTGGCAATAAAGCTCTTTCTGATTCTGATGAAAATGCAAATTCAATCTCTGACACCAGGTGGCGCTTATAGAACAGTAGCAATAAAGCGTTTCCTGGGTTATTGCTGTATGCAGCGCTGTGCATATTAACACTCCTTTAATATGTATTTAACAAAGGTAAGAGGAAAAAGAAAATGCCAACGAAACTTTTCTGAAGACATTCAGTTCTCCTCAGAAATACATTCATATTAACCCAGACCCTAATTCCATAATTATGGTTTTCTTTCAGTATTTCGAGCAACAATGAATTTGTTTTGTCTGGTACAGTATTTTCTCTGCTTGCGCGACTATTCTCTCCTCTTTGTGTCCGTCTTCAGTGCATCTGTCTTACAGATAATATATCATGATGATCACTACGTTTGTGTTACTGAATTGCATCCTGTCAGGAATAACCTGCCCGCGCTGTTTTTAACCTTTTAATTACTGTCATCCCGGGGGAACTCAATCGCGCAGCCGACGCGCTCTCACGACAGCTCACATTCCCTGGAGAATGGCGACTCCATCCCGAGACGATCCAGCTGTGTTACCGAATTGCATCCTGTCAGGAATAACCTGCCCGCGCTGTTTTAACCTGGTCTTTTTTTATTACTGTCAGTTTAAATGCCGGCGTTGCCAGATATCGAAAAACAAACAAAACAATCTAAAAATAAATAAACCACAATGAGTCCAAATCTTGAGTTATCTGTCCCTAATTTGCAACCTCCACTTTATTCACTTCCTAAATTAAGTGGGGAAAAAATCCACAACCGAGGCTGAGCCCGCGTCCTCAATCACAACTCGCTCAAGGGACGAGGCCATGTAACCTTTGATATATATATATATACATATATATATTAGGGATGGGAAGATTCACCGATTCGCTCGGTGCATCGGCATAAAAAGTTAACGATGCGATGCGTCTTTTTAAAAAGTGCGCATCGGATACAAGTTGGCATTTGTATCGCGATGCATCGTTTCTGATGCATTTGCATTGGTAAAAGCCGATTTATTTATATATAATTACTAGTGGATGCGCTATACTTTTATTATTTAGAAAGTGACCAATAATCTGTGATCTATGTATTTGTTTGTCAAGCGCGTTCTCGCATCACCGCTGCTGCGTAAATATGACGCATCACAACACCACGGAGACCGGAGGAAAAGCAGGGATTAAAGTCCAAAACCTGACCTGAAATAACCTAACAAATAAATCGGGGCGGTTTCATAAACGACAAATTAAGTTCACACAATATCACTAATTTGTGCACGTTTATTTTTAAGCAACTCTTTGTCGATCATGGATCAAATCGATCCACCATGGCTAACAGCGAATATATTTGTGCTGTTTAATGCATTTGAGATGTTGTGTTTTCCTCAGTGCATAACTGACACGTCACAGGTATATTCTACATCTGTAAATGTCAGAAAATCACGCAAATATATCCATTTTGCTGTCAGGAGTGGGCGAGGCTTACGCGAGTGAATGGGCGCTACTGCGCGCATGCGCGCTAAACAGACGGAGCGCGATTGAATAATAGCTCAGTAATTCTGAGTAAAATATACATTTTGCTAAAATATTTCTTGTTGGACATTAAATGTGTCTTTTGTAGAGTTTTAAACCTACATATAAGTGTATTTTTTATGATAGCAGTAACTGTAAAGAGGCTATTGTAATGGGTAAATCAAATGTAAGCTAGTACAGTCCTAATTACTAAACTCAAATTAGTTAATGTGTGTTTCTTATACCAGTTAAAATATAGTCATTTTCATTATTAATTATTTTCGTTTTTAATTCAGTGATTTTAACTTTTAATCTAGTTA